GAAGGAGGTCGGTGCGTTCCTGTGCCCTCGGCCCGGAGGCTGCCCTTGCTTCCCTCAGCATGCCACCCCAGGTGGCGGCGTCTGTCAAGCCTGCGCCCGGGAGCTGAGCCTCTGAGCCCGTGTGCCTCCCTCCTGCACGAGGCTGCCGTGGGGGGCGGCGGGCTGGGCCCAGGGCGGTCAGCACCCACTTGTGCTGCTCTCTCCATGCGCCCCTGCTTTCCCAGACCGCTGTCAGCACCGTCTGTGTCCGTGCAGCACTTCCTGGGGGCCTCTACATGCCGCAGGTCCACCGTTCACACACCCGCAGGTTCCTCGTGATCCTGCTCCCCCACCCCCAGACCTTTGGCCTGCATCCCGGGAGGCTGCCTCGGTCATCGTGTCCCCTCCTCCGGGGTCTCCATGCTTCCCTTGACTTCCCACGGGGTCCCTTCCTACACCTGCCCTGCCTCCTCCCAGCCACATCCTTAGCCGTCTCCGGGTACCAGCGTCCAGTGAGCACTTCGGGGGCCAGACTGGGGCCCAGTAGGCTGAGCAGGACTCTGAGGAAAGAAGGCGTCTCCCTCTGTCCTGCCCTTCTTCCCCTGGCTCTCTCCCCTCGCCAGGCGCTGCTCTGTGCCCGGGGGCCACCAGCCCCTTGCCCCAGCATGGCTGAGGGCTTGAGGAGGCCTCCCGTGTTCAAACCTCACAGCTGCTTGTTGCTCCTTTCGGGTGTGGCCGGGCAGCCAGGGCATTACCGCATCTGCCCGTGGGGGCCAGCCCTGTGCGTTGTTGAGCTGACTGCTGGTCGCATTGGCATGGGACACCCAGTGTCCCCTCAAATCCAGCCCTAGGTGTTCTTGGGCAGCTGGGGCTTCCTCACGGTGTGTCTGTGTCCCTAGGGCAGACTCCTCTCCTGTGGCTGACAGATGCCTCCCAGCCTGTTGGGCAGGCATCACCACATGGATGGGTTACATGTCATTGCCAGGCTACACAGAACAACCTCGGGAGCCTTCCTGGTGGCACCAGTGGTGTGACATTGGAAAGGAAGTGTGTCAGGCCAAGCATGTGGGCAGAGGGGCATGTGTGGAGTATGGGGACTCCTGCAGAGGTGGGACAGGTCATCCCAGGACACTCCACAGGTGCCAGCAGTAGTGGAGGGTGCACGGTGAGGCTGGCGGGCAGGCACCCACTGGGGTGAGGAGACACCGGGAAGACGTGCTCCATAGGGCCTGGGCCCCTCCCAAATGGATGACCAGCCTCGGAGCGCAGCCGCTGGACCCGGAGCAACGTGCAGGGTTCCGTCGGGGGCTCTCTGCCTGTGCCTGTGCCTGTGGCCATACTCTTCCCGAGGTCCCGGCAGGCCCTGTGGCGAGCCGAAGCCTGTGTCCGCCTTCTGGTCCCTTCAGTGCAGCTCCGTGCCAGGGCCTCAGACTTTCACTGTAGCTGTGGGTGTCCCAGCGAGCAGTAGGGGGGAGAGCCAGACAGGAGGAACCCAGCCGTGTGGTCCCTGGGCAGACCCCTGGGCCTTGGCCAGACAGAGCCGGCTCCAGAGCCCAGTGCCCGTGGGGTGGGGAGCACAGGGTCTCGTTTTCTCCACCGATGTGGCCATAGGGACAGAGGACAGGTACCAACACGGTGTCGCATGTAGCAGCCTGTTCTACCTCGAAGGCCACGAGGTGTTTTCTGAAATCTTGCGCCTGCTGCTGTTGGCGGCAGAGGAGTGGGGCTGGGTCAGGGCCACTTGTTGGCCAGAGGGGCCAAGTGTCTTGGCAGTGGACGGGACACAACTTGAGGCGGGAGGGACCTGTCGTGGCTGGGCTTGTGGGCCCCTCCTGCACAGGCCCTGCCGGCACGGAGGCCCTGCGGGTCCCCAGACGAGCCCCAGACACGCTTGTGCCTTCGTGCTGTGCCCTTTGGGTCAGAGCCCATTGTCTGCTGTCTGCTCGTGGGACTGAGGGGAAGAGGACTCGGTCCAGGGGTCCCAGGCCAGCCCTGGGTGGCAAGGACAGTGAAACCAGGGGGAACCGGCTTGGAGAGGTGGAGCTTGGCGGGCCTGCTCTGCATCTGCCTGTTTGTTGCAGGAGAACAGGTTCAGACAGCAGCAGGTGAGAAGGGCGAGGAGGCCGAGGCCTTCTGACCACGCGGGTCACAGCCCACATCCTCCCGGGGCTGCCTGCCTGGCCCTCCGCGATTCAGCCCACAGGGGCTCCCAGGCTCCCCTAGAAATGGACTCGCCAGCATGAGGGCACCACACCCTTCCTAAGGCAGTGTCCGCGAGCGGGCCTGTGTGTGACCCCAACGACTTCCTGCACCACACCGGTTCCTGCTGCTCCTCCCATGTCTGCTTCTGATGCGTGGTCCTCGAGTCACTTGGTGACATGGCTCCTAAATGGCAGGGCAGGGAGGTGCTCAGACAACTGGCTCTTGCCCCATCCCTACATGTGTGATCATAGGACCCTCTAGACCCGGGGATCGAGGCCCGGCATCTGTGGTCGTAGCCGGGTGAGTCAGCGTGAGGCGCAGGCAGGTGTGCGCGTAGAGCACAGGTGAGGGGTTGGGGTCAGATGGGACCTAGACGCAGGGTGGAGAATGTGCCCAGCAGGTGGATGTTCGGTGGTGGGGGTGGGGGTGGCCGGAGCAGAGCTGCACGGGTTGAAGTGCCTCCCGTGGACTGGGCCCTCGTGCCTGGCACTCTGGGCACAGGAGATCTTCCAGGTGACGCAAGGCTTTCGGACAGGGTGGCATGTGACTCAGTAGCAGAGACTAGGGTCAGGAGAAGGGCAGGGGGCAGGGAGTGAAACGGCCCTTCCCACGACCTGCTGGGGCATCTGAGGGCAGCAGCAGAGCTCCCGGGCTCCCTGAACCCTCCAGGACCCGGTCTCCCTCGACACATTCTGGGGAAGGGTGGGAGCCTCGCTCTCCCAGGCCAGGGGACCACAGGGCCCTGTGAAGCGCATGTCCACACTTGTCCCCAGTGAACAGCCCCACCCCACAGTCCCCTGGGCAGGGACCCCTGCAGTGCTCACTGCAAGTGTGTGTGTGGGAGAGAGACAGAGACCTTCACGCCTGTGCTCCAGCCTTGGCCTGCTCAGGCAGGGCTCGGAGCTCCGGTCGGGGGGGGGGGGGGTCTGTCCCGCCCTGTCCCCAGGACGCTGTGGCCCTGCGTGGCATTGGCCACTCCCAGTGGTGCACCAGGAGGCTGAACACACGTCGCCTTTTAAGGAGAAGATTTGCTGAGAAGCTGAGGGAAAACATCTCCCCGGCATTCGGGGAACATATTTCCTTCCTGTTTCTCTTAAATATACCACCAGCGACTTTTCAAAACAAGAAGAAAAGGACAAGGTCAGGGAGCTGCAGAGACCTTTCCCCCCTGCTCCTCGCAGGGCTGGCAGGGGGAGGGATGCACAGGGAGCTGAGTGCCCCGAGCTGTCGGGACGGCAGTGTTCAGCTCCGCCACCACGAGGCCACGCCCCCGCCGAGGCCCACGGCGCAGTGAGCCGGTCTGCCGCTCCTTCCGCAGGCACCACAGCCCTTGAGGGTGTGAGCGGGTGCGGCCTGGGCGTGCGTATGCTGGGCCCCGAGTCCAGGTCCTGCCCGCCTGCCCCCCCACCTCTGCGGCCCAGCCAGCACGGCGACCACAGCCCCCCAGAGTTTGCAGGGGGCCAGGTGGAGGAGGGTGGTCCTTGGTGCAGTGGGCTCATGGCCATCCTGACGGGAGTGCCTGCTGGTTTGCCAGGGCGGGCACGTGCCCACTCCGGCCCCTCACCCCCACAGAGCAGGAGGTGGATGGGCTTGCGTCCCCTGGGGTTCCGGCCCTCAGGCCCGTGGCCGCTCCGGGGACGGGGATGATCCCTCCTTGAGAGTTGATGGCCACGGTGGCCTTTTCTGGTCAATAAGACTTCATGACGAGCAGTCTGTCTTCCGTGGGTCACAGTGTTTGCCGTTAAAGAATTCAGTTCAATTAAGAGTCAAGCGACTCATTCGTGCTTTTAAGCATTTCCCTTCAGTTTCTCAAACTTTCCCCCAGGAGCCCAATTCCAAAATTGGGGATTTCCTACAGGTGCAGGAGGATTGCAGCGTCGCTCTGAGCTGACTGCTAGATGGCGGGAGGCCCCCCTGCCCCCTCCACATTGGGTGGTTGCTGCCCGGAAGGGGGAAGGGCCGTGTCTGCACATGGCCCTCCCCGGGGTCCTCTGCCCTGAGGCGTGTTTGCCCAGCGTGGGCTCCGGTGTGACAGATTCAGTGACTTCTGACAAACCCACCCTGGGCCACTGTGTTGGTCACGTGTCTCTCGTGAGGACGTCCTGTCTTATTTGTGTACCCAGTTCGCACACACCATGACCCTGGCTCCGGCCTCTGGGGCAGCTGGTGGGAGGCTGGTTCTGAGGCTAAGGACTCCCCCACCAAGGAGGGGCCCCCTCAGCACCAAGAACTTTTGGTTCATGGGGCTTAGCTACTGATGCTCATTGGATTTGAATAAAAACAAAGACATTTCAAAAAAATGTATTTAGTCCTATAAAAATAGCTATAATAAACCTATTCTGTTTTGTATGACAGCATATTGTTTTGGAAAAGAACTATTTTCAAAACAAAAAAAAACCTTTTGGTGCAAAGCGGTAGTTTGAGCAGATTTCCCTCTGCCCCTGCCTGGAACCTGCACCGTGTGCTTGGGACGGAGCCCAGGGTTGTGCAGGGGGGACCCTCATTTGTGTCCGTCAGTGCTCTGTAACGGTGGGCCGCTGGACCATCTGCACAAAAGGACTGGGGCCCAGGCCAGGGACGCTCTTCCCTGGGTCCCACCTGGTGGCCCTGGGGGCCAAGATGGCTGCAGTGTCTACACATGGCAGGTGGAGCCTGACTAGCCTGGCCGGCGCACCTCCTTCAGCGGGCCCAGAGCGGCCTGTGTCCCCTCTCGTGTCTCTGGGCCAGCTCGTGGCTTCCATGCCAGCATTTGTCTGCAGTGACCCTCTGCTCCCTTGTCTCTGGCAGGAAGTGACCCTCTGCTCTCTCTTCTCTGGCAGGAAGTCTAAAGCAAAGCCCAATGGAAAGAAACCTGCCGCGGAGGAGAAGAAGATGTACCTGGAGCCAGAGTACGCCAAGTCCAGAATCACTGACGTTGGGTTCAAGGAGCTGGTGGTGCTGCCCCGGGAGATCGACCTCAACGAGTGGCTGGCCAGCAACAGTGCGTGTGGGCACAGGGTGGGGAAGGGCGCCATGGCGGCCGCAGGTGGTCGCCTCCTCCAGGCCTCCCCACAGCTGGTGGCCGGCCCTGCAGTGCGCTTGGGGTGTCCACCACACGGGGACCCAGCGCAGGTCCTGGCCGTGCCGGGGAGTGTCTGTGGGGTGGGAGTGCGGCCACAAGGCCAGCAGTGCCCAGGTCATGGGAAGGCCGTGGCCCACGGGACAGGGGGGTGGCTTTCACCTCCACCTGCTGGGCAGGCCTGGGGCTCAGGGCTCAGGGCTCACAAATTGCGTGCCTGCCCCACCCCTTGAGGAGGGGACTCAGCTCGATGGCCCCTGCCTGTCTGCCCAGCTTGGCACCGTCCAAGCAGACGCCCAAGCCCGCACAGCAGTGGCTGGTGGCCGGCTTCCAGGGCTGGTGCTGTGCGCTGGGACATGGGTCTCTGGTCTGCGGTAGGTGCTGGCTGCCCCAGGGTCCAAGGAAAGGAGGCTGTTCCTTGTGGACGCAGTGGTGGGTTTCACGCCTGCCCCTTTTCTTCTCTTCTCTTCCAGCCACCACGTTTTTCCACCACGTCAACCTGCAGTACAGCACCATCTCTGAGTTTTGCACAGGAGAGGCATGCCAGACGATGGCCGTGTGCAACACGTGAGTCGCTGCCTGGCTGCAGCTCAGACCCTGGACCCTCTCACTGCACCCGTGCAGGGTCTCCTGATGGCGTGGGGTCCTCCTCAACGGCATCCTGGCCGGGGCTGCGCCTCCTGTCGCTGTGGGGCAGGGACAACAGAAGCAGAGCCCAGCCAGGGCAGGGCACTCGGCAGTGTGTGGTAGGGGGGTGTCCGCGGTACATGCCTGGCTTGGTTTCCTGAAATGTCAGAGCGTCATGAAGCTGCAGGCACTTCTCTGCTTTACTTAGTGGTCCAATTGAAGGATGGCTCTTTTCTTTTTTGAGAGAGAGAAAGAGAGAGATCGTGCGCGCAAGTGAGATAGGGATGAGAGAATCTTAAGCAGGCTACGTGCTCGGTGCAGAGCCTGATGGGGGGCTCGCTCCGTGAGATCACGACCTGAGCTGAAATCAAGAGCCAGCCGCCCGACCAGTGGCCGCCCAGGCCCCCGAAGGACAGCTTCTCCTGAGAGCCCCTGCTCTGTGTGGAGGGGGTGACGGGGGACGGCGAAGGACTGGGCGCCTTCCTCACTGGCAGGTTTTGTGGGGCTGGGACGGCTTCTCCGTGAGTTTTCTGTGGGCCTGGGTGCTGGTCACTCTCTTCCGGAAGCGCGTGCACATTCGCGCCCTCAGCAGGGAGGCACCCCACTGGACTTGCAGCAGCTCTGACTGGGGTGTGGGCGGGAGGGTCCCTGCACAGTGCGGGCTGGCCCCCTGACGGCAGAAGGGACGGAAGGGGCTTTGAACAAGAGGCGGGGTGTGCTGGGGCTCAGCCTAGGGCTGTTGGGACTGAGGACGAGCGCGGAAGCTCCTTTCTAACGCCTCCTTTTTGTTACCGGGGCTGCAGGTCAGGGGCTGATGGCAAGCGTACATGAGCCGCTGGCCCCTGCTGGCGAACACACATTTGCTGTGCTGTCCTGAGCCCATCCTGCCGGCAGAGCTGCTGGCCAGGCTGCTGGGCACAGACCCAGCTCAGTCGTAGGCAGGCTGAGCTGGCTCCTAGCCCTGCCAGGCCCTGCTCTCGTGGCCCCAGCAGGTCACAGCTCAGGGCTGGGTCACATGGGAGCAAACGTAGACAATGTACACTCTCCACTCTGTCACCCAGAAAGAGCCACCGACGGGAGCCCAGGCATTACGTGTGTCCCCCCTGGCCACAGGCAAGGGTATCACGGGGCAGGTGGGGCAGGTCGGCTTGAGGCAGGAGGACATCAATGTGGGAGGGAAGCGCCCTCGCTAGAGTGACGCCAGCGGCAGGTGCTGGAGGCAGGCGAGGACACTGCTTGAGAGCCGTGTGTGTGGTGTGCTCAGTAGGATGCTTGCTGGCTCGGCCTGACCAGGCAGCGTCAGAGGTGACCGGTAGGGTGGGCGGGTGGGGAAGCCGTTCCCCACTGCCCCCCGTGCGCCCTTTGGCATCACCGTGTTTGAGAAGAGACTCCTTGAGACGGCATAGGGCTTGGTGTCGGGCAGACCTGCGCCCGGATGTTGGCGCTGCTGTGTGAGACTGGGGATCTGGGGAATGTTGAGCCCACTTCTCTTCATTCTTCTCGACCTTCTGTGGCTCCTTCACAGGGTTTTTACAGACTCACAGGACCTGGTGTGCTCTAGTGCCTTCCTAGCGGTTGTTTGATACCGAATTAGTTTCAGAGAAAAAGGCAGGTTTGCCAAAGGTCACCCCACAGAGCTGCTTGCTCCCTCGGGACCGATCAGCACATCCACCTGGGTCCCGAGTGGGCCCGCGGCCTGTCTGCACCCTGCTCCTGCCCTAGGGATGGAGACCAGAGGGTAGCGTTGGAGTCCCAGAAGGCGAAGAGAAAGGGCCGGGCGGAGGGTGTATTTGAGGAGATAACAGCTGGGAGCTTTCCAAGCGTGGCCGACACAAACCTACAAATTCAGGAAGCTGAATGAAGTCCAAGTAGGACAAAAGAATCCACAGGCAGATGCATCATAACAAAATGGCCGAGAAGAGAAGGCCTTCACAGAGCAGAGCCCGTGGCACAGCGCCTGCGGGGACATTGGCGGGTGCCTGTGCCTCTTGTCAGAAGCCTTGGGCCACAAGGAGGCTCCGCCACGTTTTTAAAGTGAGGAAAGGAGGTGAGGAAAAGTGAGAAAAAGCAGGTGTCCCAGAGTCCTTCGGGCAAACCCGTCCTTCAGGAGTTCGGGTGAGGTACAGACCTTCCCCACATGGAGGAAGACCAACCCGCGCACAGCCGGCGCACCTGCTCCACGGGAGTTTCTGCGGGGGGTCCCAGGGCAAGGGGGCTGCGGCTGGGGACCAGCCCTCTGAGCCCCTGAAGCCACACCTGTCTGATGGGCCAGATGGAGGGGCCTGCGGGGGGCTGTGCTCTCAGCACAGCGCAGAAAGCATGACTGAGTATGTAGTTTATACTCCTGTGAGCAGCCTCTATAAAAGTTGTGTAGATGACCTAGCCAGATTCGTAACAGATGAATTGAAAGGAAATACTAAAACGTAACCCAAAAGAAGGCAGGAAAGAGGAAACAAGGGCGATGAGAAGCAAAGGGTATAAGTAGGAAACAAAAGACGGCAGATTTAAATTCAGACTCAGCAGAAATTATGGTGAGCGTCCGTGGTGCAGACATGCTGATTACTAGGCAGAGATTGTGCCCAAGGGCCGTGCCCCTGGGCCCCCATCGGGGGCCTCAAATTACAGACCAGCCTGACCCCTGCGTGTGCACACATGCCTGTGACAAAATGTAATTTATGCGTGAGGCACAGAGTGTAACAACAATACCTGATAATAAAATAGGACCGTCATGACAGTATCTTACGATAAAAGCTACGTGAACGTGCTCGCTCTGTCTCTCAGTTTGTACCCACATTCTTCTTGTGATGGTGCGAGACGAAAAAGTGGCTGCGTAGGGAGAGGAAGTGAGGGGCCGGCGTGGGCATCGTGATGTGGCCTTCGATCGCTTCTCTGCCTTCTGCCGCTGCGTGGGGAGCAGCAGCGTCTGCCTCTGGATGGTGGGTCACCGCGAGGGACTGACCCCACGGAAGGTGAAACTGCACATCCCACTGTGTGAGAATGAGCCAACTGAGCAGCGTTCACAGGAAGCTCACTTTACTTCCAGTGACATCAGTAGATCACAACTAAAAGCGCAGAGAAGATGTATCAGCAGAACACTAATGAGAGGAAAGCCGGAGTGTCTGTTAATCCCAGACACAGCAGGCCTCAGAGCAGAGTCAATGATGAGGTGTGAAGAAGTCTGCATATTTACAAAAGAGTCAATTCATCAAGGAGTATCGATCTTGAATGTGTATGCACCAGACAGCAGCGTTTCCCTAGAGGACGTGGACAGAACTGAGAGAAACGGACAAAAATCAGAGTAGGGGACTTCAGTGCTCCTGTCTTGGAGGCAGAGGGCTGGTAGACAGTAAGCCAACAAGGTCACAGACTCACTGGCATTGCCAGCCAGCTGGACCGGATGGACTGGAGAGCATTTCACCCTCAGCAGCGCATTCTTCCCAAGCGCACACAGAATAGTCCCCAAAATAGATCACATCCTGGCTCACAAAACAACCCTTCGCAAACTTGAAAGAATCAGAATCGTGCTGAGTCGGTCATCTGATGTCATGGGGTTAAACTAGAATGAGTCACACTTGGAAATTAGCATGTTTCTAAATAATCCGTGGATCGTAGAGGAAGTCTCAGAATTAGAAATGTATTAAACGGAACACAAATGAAAGCGCACCGGACTTGAGGGGACACAGCTACAGCCGTGCCTAGAGGGACAGTTGTGGGTACGCGCTTACTTTAGAAGGATCTCAAGTCAGTACCCTAAGCTTCCATATTAAGAAACTAGAAAAAGAAGAGCAAAATAAACCCGAATTGAGCAGAAGAAAGGAAGTAACAGAAACGATCAAAAGTGATTTCTGAAAACAGGAAAATCGATGAAACCAGAAGCCAGTTTCTTAAAAAGATCAATAAAATTGATAAACCTTTAGCAAGATTGACAAAGAGAAAGGTGCAGATTATCACTGTAAGCAGTGAAGGGGGTGTCAGCATAAACTCAGCAGATACTAAACATCACAAATTCTTATGGACATAAATATGATAGTTTTCCAGACGGCTCCAGAAACAGCCAAGTGCTTCGGGGTACACTCGGGTGTGCACGCTGCCAAGTGCCAGGTGCTGGTGAGCGCGGTCAGAGGCCTGCGCCAGTGGCAGGCGTGCCGCGCTTGTGGGCTGGGAGGCTTGACAAGCTCCGACGGGGAGCTCTCTCAGCCCGCCCTGTGCGTTCGTCGTCGGAGCCCCAGCAGAGCCGTCGTGGGTGCCGATGAGCTGGCTGAGACACGTGGAGGGGCGCAGCCGCTGGCGCAGCGACAGCGGTTTTGGGGAAAGAGCAGGAAGGCTGGAAGGATCCCACCACCCAGTTGTAATCGCTGTAAGGCCACGGCACCGAAGACACACGGTGCGGCAGAGGAGCAGACGCACAGGTCAAGGGGACAGCCGAGTCCAGACATAGACCCACACAGATGTGGGCCTTTGATTTTTGACAAAGATGCAAAAGAAATTTGGTGCAGAAGGATTAGTCTTTTCAACCAAAGCTGTTGGAAAAAACAGTCGTCTGTGGGGGGTGGGGGAGTGAATCTTGACCCAAACCCGTCACTCCATGCCAAAAGCAACTCCAAATGATTCTAAGTTGTAAAACCGTGAAACTTTTGAAAGAGAGTGAGGAAATCTTCATGACGTACCATCAGGTGAAGAGCTCTTGGCTGTGACACAGGCATGGTTGTTAACGAAAGAGAATCAGTAAATTGAGCATAATCAACATGTAGAGCTTTTGCTCAGAGAAGGACGCTATCACAAGGAAGAAAAGACAAACCACAGACTACGTACCCAAGAAGGGACTCGGCCCAGAACGTGTGAAGAAGCCTCACAACTCGTCTGTGGGAAAACAGCCTGGTCACCGGTGGGCCCGGGCCTGGACACACAGGCCAGCAGAGAAGACACAGGAGAGCAGATGAGCCCCTCAAGCAGCAGGTGGATGGGGATTCAGAAGTCACAGGCCGCGTTGGCGGGCCCAGCACCGGCGACGCTGTGTGCGGCAGGGCCGTGGAGGGACACGGAAGCCAGTCCGGGAGTGGTTTCACGGCTTCTTCGGAAGGGGCGCTCTCCCCTTGCCTGGGCCCGGCAGTTCCGGGCCCGAGTGTCCGCCTTAGACAAGTGAGAGCTTGTGCTCCCATAGGAACCTGTCCTGGAGTGCGTGTCGCAGCCTGAACCGTCATCGCCCTGAGCCGGGGACAAGCCGGTGCCTGAGCGGGTGAGTGGCTGGACACACCAGCACTTCCACACAGGAGCACGTCTCGGCGTAAGAAGGAAGGGGCTGCAGATGTGCGCACGGACGTGGCCGGGTCACCCCCCAGCTCAGGATGCCACGTGGCGTCCCCGGGGGACATCGCTGGTGTGCGGGGGGGGGACTGACCAGGGGCCGTGGCAGGAGGGCAGCATGAGCTGTGTCTGGCTGTGGGAGGCACCCAGCCGTCCGCATGGGTGAGGAGCACGGGACCACACGCCACCAGGTCATCTTTCCTGCGTGGTGATTTAAAATGAAAACAAACAAGAGGAAGGTCAGAAACGGAGCATCTCATCTTCCTTGGTTCCAGACGGGGCGGTCCTCGTCATCCCTCAGGAGCCAGTGTCTCGGGGCTGCATGTTGTGGGGACCTGTTTCCCAGTTTCCGGGGTGAGCTGTGTTCTCCGATGCCGGCACCTGTGGCCAGGTGCATCTGCCATCACGTGGGGGACGGGGGGGGGGGGGGGGGGGGGGATGGGTGGAGCAGGTGTCTGTGCTGCTGCCCACGCACTTGGGCCTTGTCCTCCGGATCTCACTGCAGACCTGGGCCTCAGCCTGGCCGCTAGAGGCCGGGCTCCACTTCCTGGCACAGGGACCCCACAGGCCGTCCAGAGTGACACAGAAAAGGGCTTTGTGTGGGTGTCCTCAGGTGCTCCGATGCACCCGCACTGACGCCTGGGCAGGCAGGATAGGGGTGAGGCAGAGCCACCTTGTGGTGAGGAGGGCGCCAGGGCGGGTGTTCTAACCGACGGCAGGGCCTTGCAGGAGTTTCCCTTCCTGGGGGAAAACAGGGAGCTTTTCCAGCTTCCGAGGGCTTCGTCTTGACCAGCTCCCCTGCCTGTTCACGTTCTTGGGCCTTGTGGGGCACACGGCACCAGGCGCTCATGCAGCCTGGCCACCCTGCAGGTACCGGGGAGTGCCCCCTTACACCCCGGTCACAGCCCAGACCTTCCACCTCCGAGTGGGTGGCTCTGGTGCCGAGTGGCAGCCGGGGCCGAGTCCCCTTCCCCATCGAGGGCTGGCCTCCTCCCAGGGCCTGTCCATTAGCAAGGAGGCTGTGGCCGGGGGTGGGGCCTGCGTGTCTGTGGTGATGCCGTGACTGGCCTTCTCTGTCCCCACAGACAGTACTACTGGTACGATGAGCGGGGGAAGAAGGTCAAGTGCACCGCTCCCCAGTACGTCGACTTTGTCATGAGCTCTGTGCAGAAGCTGGTGACTGATGAGGACGTGTTCCCCACGAAATACGGTACGTCCCTCCCCTGGTGCTGGGTGCCCCTCCCTGCTAGGCAGGCGTGGCTGCAGAGGACACAGAGCCAGACCTATCGGGAGGGGGCAGCCGTGTGGCTGGGGCTGTAAAGCCAGGCAGGTGCCCTCTGGCAGGGTCAGCTCGGCCTGGGTCGAGACCCCCATCTCCACCCCCGTGTGCCCGGGCCATGGCAGTCCCCCTTACTTGGGGCCTGCCAGCCAAGGAGCGGTGGTGGTGGCGGGGGCTCCAGGCCAGTACAGAGCTGCCAGAGGGTCCCGTGCATCTTGGTTCCCGTCATCCTCCGTGGCCCCGGCCCCATCGAGAGCCCCGAGAGCGTCCATCACGGAAGCACGCATAATCCCAGGGCCAGGGCCAGGCTGAGGGTGGCCTGAGGCAGGCCCCTCGATGCAGAGGCAGCCGGTACAGAGCAGTAGGCACCTGCCGGGTCAGTAGGCACGCAGCTCCGGGAGCCAGGCCCGGGGCGACAGGTCACTGGAGCGCCTGCCGATGGGGGGAAGGTGGGAGGTAGGGGGGGCCCTCCAGACGGCTCCTGCACAGCCAGTCCCCCGGTCCCCCCCCCCCCCCCGACCCCAGCCAGCTCCTTCCAGACTGGTGGGAGCTCGGCGGGACGTGGCCCACCGAGCAGAGTGCCGGTGACCCGACGTGGTGGCCTCTGTCCCCAGGCAGGGAATTCCCCAGCTCCTTCGAGTCTCTGGTGAAGAAGATCTGCAAGTACCTGTTCCACGTGCTGGCGCACATCTACTGGTCCCACTTCAAGGAGACCCTGGCCCTTGAGCTGCACGGACACTTGAACACACTCTACGTCCACTTCATCCTCTTTGCCAGGGAGTTCAACCTGCTCGACCCCAAAGACACCGCCGTCATGGACGACCTCACGGAGGTGCTGTGCAGCGGCGGAGGCGGCAGCGGCGGGGGCCCGGGCGGGGGCTCACCTCTCCTTCACGTGGTTCTGTGCCCCCGCGCCCCCGCCGCCGGCC